GTATGTGTGTCTGTGTATGTAAGAGAGGGCAGAGAGATTAATTCTAATTGAAGTATAGAACATTCAAAATGAAGAGTCATCTTTGGAAAGAAGCTAGTTTGATTCTCGATGTATTAAGTATTTTGTGCCTGGCCTTGAAGGTAGAGATGAACAACAGATGGCTGGAAATTTGGACCTAGAATTATCACTCTGCAATGTTAAATTCGTTCAATCATGTCATATATGAGAGGTTCTAGCTAATTTTATTAGTATAAAAACAGTTATTTATGTTCTCTTTTTAAAATAATTTTGCTATCACTTCCCCAAGGGATAGAGTACGAAGACGTAAATTCTAAAATTCATTGCTCTATCATTATGACATGTCTGAAATTAAAAGATACTCTCTTTGAGACGATGGATATGCTAACTACCTTGGTCTGATCACTATATGTATTGAAACATCAGTGTGTACTCCACAAATACGTACAATTATTATACATCGATTAAAGAACAATATTATAAGAAGCCTATCCCATAATAGGTGTGGCAGTGTGAATGACATTACCCTACATTGTTTTCAAAGCAGTCAGCATCCTCCTAACTTTTGGGGTTTCTCTAGGTGATGTATTACTCTAGCACATCAGTTCACTGAACTGATGTTTCAATCTACCAGATCACCAAGAGTAACCTAGATACTTCAAAATTTCTTCTTCTGTTCGTAGAGGGCAAATATTTTCCCCTTCTCCTCTCCTCATCCCTGCTTAGACTCCTAAAGGAGGAAGCTTCTGACCAAACTTCCACCTCCTGGAGAAGTGCGTCTCTGGGGCTTCCTCTTGTCTCTGCATCCTGTTTTTCACTGAGAACAAAGGAGTTGAGTGATATTAAGCAAGATAACTGGTTTAGGAAAATAGACAACTACAGATGAAATATTAATTGAATTATGACTTTTTCTGACTCATTCCTTTACAAATAACAAATCTTGGTTCTCAGTTTTGGCATTTCCAGCTGTAATATGCATCTTAAAAAGAAAAAATAATGATTGTCTCTTTCTGCACTCTCTCTGCTCATTCCCTCGCAATGATGGGCTTTTAAATGAGTGAGGAGGGCCACAGGAGCTCAACTTCCTGATTGTCAACAACCCTAACAGCTCACATGGTGCCAAGATGCCTAAGTTAGCAAAAGGATGAACAGCCCGTAATTCCTGACATAATATGTGGAAGACTCTTCCTTGTATTATTACTGGACTATGATATAATTAGCCTATTTCTAAAGCATATCCTGTGCATTTTGTCCCTTCAAGAAAAATTGTGTATTTTCCTCTCCTTTCCCTCTAACCTTTCAAGTGTCTAACATTTTAGGAGAGTAAAAGTAACTTGACTTTCTGTCCCTCTCCCTGGGCCAGCCAGCCAGCCTCCTCCATCCAGTGCAGGGTCCCTGGAGTACTGCATCCCCATCTTTCTGCTGCATCTCTGCAACCTAGCAGCACTTATTAGCTACAGGACTTATTAGCTACAAAATAATTTCTTCTGGGGTACAGTTAGGAAGATATTTTTTTCAAACAACTGACAGCAACTGTGTTCTGCTTACCTCCAAACTTCCTGCCAAGTAGCAGACTCTATTTTAGATATTCCAATCTGATTCCACAAATTTTTGCTTTTTTTTTGGTATTGACTATTGCATTTTAGTCATCAAGACTTAGTCCTGACCATTTTTAAACTTCAGTCACAAATCTGAATCAAGCTGACTCCACCATCCCCTTCTCCTTTGCCCCTCTTACGGAGGATTGAGTTTGGGGTGAAGTGGGAAGGGCTGTCTTTCATACACCTTTCTTTTTCACACTGGTTACTCTGGTGTTGGGGAGGACAGTGGAAAAAGCCGTTTTGTTTCATGTCAGTTGACTTTCTTGGATTAACTCTCTTTTTCTCTGTCGGTCATAAACAACCTTCCATCAGTGGTAGTCAGTTGCTCTTCTTGTTCTGTTGATGATCATCGGGGATCTGGCTTGTTATTTCCAGACTCCCGTGGATACATACAGGTCCCAGAAGACCTTGCTGGTATGAAACTCATATATAGACCATATATATTTGCAATTATATATATAATTTAATTGCCAATATGTGTGTGTATGTGTATGTGTATACATACATATATATATATACTTTTAATAATATCTGTGTTTAATAACTAGGTAAAAAATTATTTAAATATCTGGAACCAGTTCCATCACATCACTGAAAAAGGGAAAATCTAAAATAGCTTTATTCTTTTATGTAAGTTCTGCAATAATTTCTAAAAATTAGAAAATTAGAAAGTAGAAAAGCCAAGAATTAAACCCAGGACGTCTAAACCCAAATTCTATGTTATCACCTCCTCATTTTACTGCTATATCCTGAGTTGCAACATTTGTCAATGTAAATTCTCAACCAAGATGTTATCTGACCAAATGTTTCCAAAATATGAAAGTCCAGGAAGGAACTACATTATTGTCTATCTGCCTCCTAGAAATTCATATTAACATTAGCATATTATGTGCACTGGAAAGTCTTGCTATAAGCAAAACTAGTTAACTTGTATTTAATTAACCCAGTCCATCCCAAATATATCTGACCAGAAACCTCCTCCGCATCCCCTTGTGGTAGTACCAGTTAAATTCCAATAGAACTCATGTTCAGGGAGACCCATTTTATGCTATAAGTATCAATTTCACTGTTGTCCTGTCTCTCCCAGGATAGTCAGAAGTTTATTGAACAAATAAATTATAACCTGGTTATTCATTGTAACATCCCCAGCCCATGAGGGATTATACAGTAGAGACTCCATGTAATTTTAAAAAATTGAATCAAATTCAAAGAAATGCCAGTCAGGAGCAATGGAAATACAATGACATTCCCCTGAAGAAATAGTTTCCATTTTACAAGATAGAAAAACACTTTGCTGATATATTTTAATTCAAGCTGATAATTTTCCCTAGCTATCATTATTATCTCCACTTTATGGATATTGAGTCCAAAAGAAATCAAATTTTGTCTAATAAAGGATTGTTTTCATTTTGCAGATTCTTCAGGTATACTTTAAATCAGTCAAGCAACAGAGCAAAAATATTGGAACTCTCAAATAGGGAATGCATGAACTAAACTATGTTAGCACAGCACTTAGGGGCACTTTTCCTATTAAGATTATATTTTAAGAGCTTTGGCATGCTCCTTAGCATGCTAATTAGATGTCAATTTGATTTCCAGTGTGTCTGGCTATAAAATCATATGGTTTCTAACATAAACAGCAGCACTCCAGGTATTTGTCAGCAACAATAGATTTACACTCACAGTCACCCAATATTTATCACCAGCTTAGTGGAAAGAAGTAATATTTATGGAGATTTTTATATGTAATAGGGTCCAACCTATTTATTAATTTCATGCTCCCCATTAAGGCAAAATCATAAGAAGTTTAGAGAAAGAGATGAAGCACTGTCTGAAGGGAAATTTTAAGAGAAATCTTCACTCGTGTTAAATATCAGGACAGCCAATTCCTGCAGTGCTCCATTTGGTACATTTCAGTGTCTTCTATTATACTTCTATTATACGTCTTTCTCTTTTATTTTTGTTTTTTAATATTTTAGCTTGTTGACTCATTTTTTAAATTAACAGCTTGCTTGCTTTTTTGTTATTTTTAACTAATTGAAGGATGAGAGACATACAAAATACGTACAACTCATGAGGGTTCTTGTTCGTGAATTTTCAAAAAATGAACGTGTCCATGATGCCAGCCCTCAAGTCAAAAAACAGCATCCACCAGCATCCTAGAAGCCTGCCTCATGCCCCTTCTGTTCACCACCCTCCTTCCACAAGTAACCTTTTATCCTGACCTCTACACACACAGATTTGGCCTATTTTTATAGTTTATATATAAATTGAATCACACTGCCTGTACTCTTTTGCTTCATTCACTCAACATTCTATTTGAGAAACTCGCCCAGGGGTGAGCTGGTAAAGTTTTGACAACCGGCTGATTTCAAGTTAGCAGCATGAAATCACCAGTCTCAGAGTTGGGAAGAGAGCTGATACAAGCAGGCTCCTGGCCAGTACTGAATTGATCTGTGTTGTTGCATGTGGTGTGTACTATGTTCATTCTTATTATTACAGTGCCAAAAATGTTACATATTTAATTATACATTTATTTAATTATACATGCCAATGTATATTATCCTCAACTAAGCTCATCTCTAGGAAACCCATATGTGAAGTGATTAGTTAGCTGTCTTATAAGTAAATGAAGGCAGATTTTTGAATATAATCCTTTGGCTCAATAACACAGGAGACTTATTTTCCAGAGCTTTCGAAATTGTATCCGAGTGTTCCACATTCATAGGTCATACTTCTGACTGGGTCTACAAATGCGATCTTGCATTAAGCAATCAATTAAAAATTCAATTTTTAAAAAGTGCCTGTAGTAAAGGACACTGAATTTTGAGCTCTAACTTTGAACAATTCTTTATATTGGGGAGCTCTGCATACCTGGACCCATCTATGTTAGGTCTAAAATTCAGGCTCTCTCATTTTGAAGGGAAACATTTTATTTCCTACAAATCATATGATTATTAGAGGCTCCAGCTATAAAATATGAACAGATAATTTTTATTTCTACAGGACAAAAATGTTTTTGAAACATTTGTTCATGGCATTACACAATGTTCTTTTCACAAAGATCCACTGGAGAAATTTCTTTCTGGTTTGTACTAATTGTGTTTTTCTCTTTTAGCATCAACTGCCAAAATCATTAGGATAAACCAGTGGATCACCTCTAGCAAAGTCACAGGACCTTGCCACATGTATTTTGTATTCAAACCTAACTCCTGGCTTCATCATCTCTTCCTTATTCTTATTTTCTTTTGTCTCATTTCCTTCATGCAGTTATTTAATTTTTTAATCTTCTGTCGTCAATTAGGTTAAGTCACTCATATTAGTTCTCCATTGCTATGTAACAGATATGCTTGTCTATTGTTATGTAACAAACTTAGCAGCTGAGAACAACAAACATTTATTTTTGTTTCATAGTTTCTGCCAGTCAAGAATATGAGATCAGCTGATGGTTCTCACTCAGGGCCTTTCAGAAGGCCACGATCCAAGTGACATCTCAGACTGCATTATCTGAGATTTGACTGGGGCTGGCAGTTCCACTTCTAAGCTCACTCACATGGCTGTTGGCTGAGACCCCAACTCAAAGCACATGGGCCTCTTCATAGGGCTGCTTTCAGCAGGGTAACCAGATTTCCCTGAAGGAAGAGAGAGGGAAGGAGGGTAAGACCAAGATAAAAATTTCAGATTTGAATATCCTGACCTTGGAAATGACATGTCATCCATGAATGCAGTACCAGACCAACCTGGTTCAATGTGAGAAAGCAGTTCACAAGGGGATGACTATCAGTAGTTGAGCTCACTGGAGGCCATTTTGGAGGCTGGCTACCACGTCCCCTAAATAGTCTCTGAAACAAGGTCAATGTACAAAAGTATGTAGTGTGAAATATGGGAATGGGAAGAGAGAGAAGCTTTGGATAACTTTATGGTAAGTGTAATTTTATGTTTGTTCATGATTTATCTTATGAACTAAAGGTCATCAAGGCAACACAGACTAGATTTTTTGGTGAGGGGGCACATGAAAAGAAAGAAGACTAAGGGATTTGAAGTTTTAACCAGTCTAGTAAACTAATAAAATGGTTAGCAACAAAAAGAATACTAGAGGAAGTAATTTTATTATTTTATACCAGAAAAAGAAAAAACATATACTGTATATATGTATTAATTAAGATGTATTTGGTTATGGAAGTGTCAGAAAACTCAATCCAAGTTGTCTTCAAGTGCTACTGGATAGAAGTTCAACTCTCTCTCTCTCTCTCTCTCTCTCTCTCTCTGTCTCAGAGATTCCCACGCCATAGCTGCAAATGAGGTGGGTATCTGGCATTTTCATCTTCAGTAGTGGAGACCAATACTGTCTCATAATTTGTGGGATTCTCCAAGTCAGCGTCAGCTTCAGTATAGGGACTGCCTCAGATAAAGACTTTAGAATCCCTCCCTTTTGTTTGATTTGCAGCACTGCTGGTTGGGTGCTCAAACAGCCATCTCTTTCCCAGCCTCCCTTGCAAGTGGGTGTGGCCAAAGACGTGGCTGACAAAGTACAGCTTCAGATTTCTAGGAAAGGGAGAAGGTACTGCTGACTTTCAGCTCTCCTGCCTGTGTACATAGCTCACTGACATTACATCTGGTACTGCAGATTCTACTTGGGAACTACAAGACAAAAACTGTGAGACTGAAAGGCAGCAGAACTAAGAAGGGCAGAGCTAAGAACCTGGCAGTGCTGGCTACAGCTGAACCAACAGCTAACAACCACCCACCCAGCCTCAGCCTTGTTAGGGGGCAAACAAACCCGGATTTGGATTTGGCTAAGACTTTTTTTATTTTTTGAGATGGAGTCTTGCTCTGTCACCCAGGCTGGAGAGCAGTGGCATGATCTTGACTCACTGCAACCACCACCTCCTGGGTTCAAGCAATTCTCTGCCTCACCCTCCCGAGGCTAAGCCATCTTTAAGGAAGAGTTCATGGAACTTACCGCCAAATATATAATTTAACTAAAACAGGTGGATTCCCAGGATAGGAGCTTAAAAACCATCAAACTGACCCACGGCAGCAGCACAGGCATGAAGAATACTGGGAGGTGGTTTCCCTAAGGTGGGTGCTGCTGCACTTCCTCAATCTCAGCATTCAGCCATTTGGGCAGAAGGTTCTTGCCCAAAGGATAACAGCCCTTATGACCCAAAAAAGGCAAAGAAGTCCACAACGTGATGGTCCTGATGGCTGTATTGGTGCCAGAAATGCAGATTTACTGAAAGCAATTGTATGATATCTAAAGAACTAGGAGACTGAGCGAGCTTGAAAAACTGCCTTAGAAATCACTCCCCAGTGATCTGGAAGTAATGGATTAAGGATAGGTGATTAGGATCAGCTTGTGATGTATCATTTCATCACATTATACTCTCACCATATGTTCAGGCAATTATAGCCCCAGGAAATACTTAGTATAGGAATAGAATGAAGCAATCTGAGATGCTGGTGCCTTGAAGAAGGGTTGACTCTGTAGATGTCATGGGAAGGGCTGAGCATGACTTATCAAAGCAGTAGAGTTATAAAAATTATGAAACTAAATTCTGCAACAAATAAGTGGTTATCTAAATGGCATTTAAAACCCTGACATGATCTTGCTTTGTCCCTCAGCATCAAACAGAGCTTTCATGGAGCACCAAGTATTGGACCTAATTTTAAAGAGAGAGATGAGGATTTGGGGAAGGAAATTGAAATTTAAAAATCAAAATGAACAAGTTTGGAAAATATCTAATTTTTTAAAGGCAAAAAAACCATGCTTAGTGTGCCTAGAGAAAAGGAGGATGCTATGGTATGGTTTTAATAATCAATAGTCTCTAAACTTATGATGTGCTCTTATAACAAAATCAGAATGCCATTCAATTCTGCTCCTCTTCCTTGGTAGTCAGAACTTCATAAAAGCATTATTTTGGGTGGGTGTCTGTTGTTTTGTTTCCTCAACTAAATTATGCTCTCCTTCCTAGGGAAAGAGTGACTCACCAAGATGTGATCAATGCTTCTCATTTCCTCTCCTGGAGAGTTTCTAAGATATTAGTTCTTTGTTTCTAAGAACTGGCTCTGCTTTACCATAGCAAAAGGGTTAACACGTTTCATGTCTCTTGTACCACTGAGGATCAAAGTCTAAAGAGCAATGGCGTGGAAACCCAGAAAGAGAAATGGAGGGAAAGATGAGAAGAAGGGAGGATATCTGATACTGTCCCTGAGAGACCTCATAGGAGACCCTGGCGCTGGAATACATGGCCCTCAAAGGGGCACCCTACAAAAGTCCAGATGCCCCTAGAACTGACTCTGGCCCTGTGGTAATCTGGAGACAACTTGCCTGAATCCCAGGAGCCTGGAACATCTTGCAAGCCTTAGGATCCTGCCTGGCAAGCTGCCCAGGTGAGCAGACGTAATGGTCCTTAGGTTTAAGTCCACACACTCCAAATTAACAGCTTCACCTCGATAGGAGTCCCTACCACCCCAGGCCTAAGGGACTTACCAGACGAAGTAGGAGCGTCTCCGGTACATGACTTTGAAATTGGACTGGGAGACCTACAGCTGGAAACAAGGAGGAAAAACACCCTGGCGACAAAGTCAAAAAGAACTCACTCCTATTAAAATGTGATCTAGGAATTTAAGCAAAACATAGGTTCTTGACAATGAGCACTGTCAGATATTAGAATGCATCAAAGAAATGCAAATTATTTCTCCTGAGAAGTCTTTAAGAAATAGATTGCAGGGATTAGTTTAATCCTCCCTCACCTCTTAGCAGGTGATTTTTTTAGATGTTTTTATTATTATTTTTTTCCTCAGAATTCTTTAAAGAAAGGATTAAAAATGTTTTGTTTACATATTTATGTTTTCCCTCTTTCCAAAAAGGAAAAGAAGATTTGAGATGATTTACAGAAATACGTATAATATTGCAAAAAAGTAAGAATATAAAGAAATTATGATGAAAGAAGTATTCAAGCGGAATGGTGAGATAAAGTTTTTAAAAATGTAAGAAAATAGGTTGGCTTTTGCTTAGCTGGGAGAGTAAATCATGCCAACAGACATAGCTGGTCAATTTGTAGTGGTAGGTTCACTGCAACTCAATGTCCCTGAAAAATTAGTAAATTTTGGCAAACTGTCTGCAGTACTATCGAAAATACTTTCTCACTCTCCATAGACTAATCCAGTACTCAGAGCTACAGTGCTCCAAAACAGCATGACTCATCAAGATGCCTGGACACAATTCTCCCATTTGGACTAATAACTAACAAACAAACCCAGAGATTCACACGGCCCGACGTGATCCTCAATTCCCAACAGTCAATCCAGGCCCTGGGAGGCCACCCAATACGGTCACAGGCGTCTAGTCTTCCAGTTTCTTCTTGTGCCTGTTTTCCTCTCGTCTTTTCCTACATCACTTTCTTTCAGGGAGAGGTCCTGATCAACAGCCTGCCTTGAAGTACAAGCCAGTGGAGCCGGATGATATTCTAGAATCCCTTCTATTTTTTGTTACTAACGGGAATGAATAAACAATAAGTCAATAAGCAGTATAGACTTGTTAATGGCTGAATTAATCAATCAGAAGGGGCAGGAGAAAACCAGCAATTGGGTTTGCTGAGCCTGGGTTCCTACAACACTGTGTTTCCCCAGATCCTTTTACAAGCTTTTTCCCTTTTGCCACTTCCTGCTTACCTGGGTCCCAGAGGTGGGCTGATCACCAGGGAGGGGCTTCCTAAGCACCTGCTTCCGAGAATGCTGAGTCACAATATTCCTACTGCTTGAAATTCTGCCCTCCTCCTTTCTAAACATCTTAGCTGTGTACACCTTTCTTCAAGACTCATTCCTTCCACAAAACCTTCCTTCATGTCCAAAGCTACCGTAATTAATCATTCTGCTGAACCCTTATAGCATTTGGTCAGTCCAGTTCCTCACAATTTAATACTTAGCTGTGGCCTTAAACTTTTCTTTAGCTGTTTCATTTATCTAAGTCTTCTTTTCCCAAAAGCATCATAAACTCATCAGGATTACATCTCCAGGACGGCACAATGCCTATGCCCTTTGGTCAGGCGCATTGGACAGGGCCCTGCGGAAATGAGTGACGTGGTTGTGAACTGAATAAGAAAATGAGCAAGACTCCTTGTAGAGGGAATGTGCTTTGGAAACCGGAACTGAAATGTGAAGGAATCTTCCTTCTTCCCCCATTCCTCCCTTTCTCTTTGCTGTTAATAGTAGCTGGTTAATCCTTTTAATGCTCATGTTAAGTGACCCAAATGCAGCAAACCCATCCTTAGTGAAAGACAGTTCCACTCGGTGGTGGTGAAAGTGCTGGGGACCTTGGCAGTGACTCAGCAAGCACAGCACCAGCCTTGCCTGTGTACATCGGGGCCCTGCATCCCTGAGGAAAATGTTTCCCTGCAGATGATTCACCTCCCTTATGGTTGATGTTCCAATCTTTTTGCTGTGGTTTTCCAGCAACTTCATAGTAGCTTTTCTATCTCAACCTTAAGCATGGGCTCTATAATTTTACAAAGTTCATTAGTTATCTGTCTAAATAATGTCAGCATTCAAATGCCAGTGGGTGGCATTTGAAAAACAAGTTAGTGAGAAGGTATAAAAGGTTATATTTTCCTTCAGTGAGAATTAGCTC